ATATTGCAGTCAAAACCAACAATTCATGTATTGCTAGATAGGCACATGAAAGGAGGCAGAGGCTCTGTGAAATCACTTCCTTTCTACTTCCTCTTCACCATGCTTTCCACCTGAAGGCACGTGTCTGAGCTCTTCAGCTCAGACACCATTTTTGGCCTAGTTTAGTAACTTAGTAGTTTAAATCTGCCTTTATTTTACTATTGTAACTGCTGTTTGAAACCTACTTTATGTGAGTAAATATTACTTCTTTTTCTTCACAACACTGTGATTGTTATTTTGAGAGTTCAAGAAGGCGTAATACCAGGATTAAATCTGCCTTTATTTTACTATTGTAACTGCTGTTTGAAACCTACTTTATGTGAGTAAATATTACTTCTTTTTCTTCACAACACTGTGATTGTTATTTTGAGAGTTCAAGAAGGCGTAATACCAGGAAAAATCCAGTTTGCCTAAAAGCATCCTGGATTACTGTTTTCTAGAAGCTTAAACCAACCTTGTCTTAAGCTTCCAAGTTTATACTGCAAAAGGATGGTACTCTGCTAATCTCACTCACATGATCAGAGAGGACAATAACTAAATAATATATCCTCTCCTACTGCAAAAGGATGGTACTCTGCTAATCTCACTCACATGATCAGAGAGGACAATAACTAAATAATATATCCTCTCCTACTGCAAAAGGATGGTACTCTGCTAATCTCACTCACATGATCAGAGAGGACAATAACTAAATAATATATCCTCTCCTAGTACCTAAATCCATTCCTTCAAAATAGGCATCTGACAAGGATTTCTATACTGAGCATGGGAATGGACTCAGTGACCTAAATAGTTTGTACTGATTCAGGCAAATTGTTTGTCTATTCATTCTTAACTTTTAAAAAATCTTCAGTTTAATATGTAGATATGAGGGATTGTATGAGTGAGGCCCACTCAGCTATGGACTCTGTTAATTATCTGTATAATTTCTATAAATGAATAGAGAATATACATTTGGGCCTATAACTTCTACAGTCTTTGCTATTTTTACAGATTTTTTTTCAGGAACCCAAATCCACAAATCACCATTTACTTAAAGGCCTTAGATATGTCACTTCTTCCACCTTTTGTACTCCTACTAACATTATAAAGTCCTTCAACGGTTATCTTGTATTGTAGTAAAGATTGCCGTATATGTCCAGCAACTTATCTAGTTGCTTAGGTTCTTGGGATGCCTAAGAGTAACCACAAAAAAAGGTGGAAATTCTTTAAAAGGCAGAAATTCAAAAAATTGCCCCTGGCATAGGGAAAAGGAAGGCTTTGCTTGCTAAACATTCAGCAGCCATGCAGGTTTTAAATGTAATAAACTCACCATAAGAAAAGATGTAGAGATGAGAACTCTACAGAACTGAGATATTTTAAGTCAGAGAACTACTTAAAAAAAAAATCTTAATGTGGTTACAAGCAGCATTTCTATGTGGTAAATATATATTTATAATAACCCCTTTAAATCCAGATTCCTTCAATAGAATTATTAGGTTTGTAAGTGAATGTAAGAGAGTTAGGAGAGGGTGATATTGGTGTATAATATGCTTTTAATAACTACATCTGTTTAAGTGTAAATTTGTTTTCCAATTATAATGGCAATCACATATGGTCTAGGACCATTAAATCTGAATAAAATTTGATTTGATATGGTGGTAATTTATTCTTCCTTTACTTAATTTTTATTGATTAGAAACCAGTCAATAACAAAAGGCCCCACACACTCATGTTTTTTTCTCAGGAAGGCAAAACTGGGATCCATGAAAGAAAGAATTTTATAACATGACTTTATTAGAATGACAGGATTACCTGATATAAAAATCTAATGTTTAAGATGACTATACAACACAAGATGTATACCTTCCAGTTTATTAAAAAGCATGGCTGAGCCTTAAATTCTACTTGGTGGATAGCATTGCTTTTCATTTTGTATTTTGCCTTTTTGTGTCTCCTCAGATATCTTTTGATTTAGCAGAATATACAGCGGATGTTGATGGAATTGGCACTTTACGATTGCTAGATGCTATCAAGACATGTGGTCTCATAAACTCTGTAAAATTCTATCAAGCCTCAACAAGTGAACTTTATGGAAAAGTGCAAGAAATACCTCAAAAGGAGACTACTCCATTTTATCCCAGATCCCCTTATGGTAGGTATATTAACCCTCTTGACAGATTCCAAAGAGTCTCTTATAAAAGGATGCAACATCACAAATTGCGAGGTTGCAATCAATTTTAAACATGTTATTTGTTGGTGCAGTAATCTAAAGGTTTAGCCTATTTGTCTTGAAGGGTTTTGGAAAATGAAAGTCGTCTTCAAGTACAGTTTGATTTCTGATGATATCAATAATGTATCTATGTAGCTTTTATACTGCAGTATGGAAGTGGTGTACAATTGTGTCCTCCTGGGTTATTTTTGGACTGGAGAGTTCCCATCCACGTACTACCCAGTAGCTTCTGACCCAGACGAGGTTATCCAGTTGCTGCCAGGCTTTTGTACAGAATGCCAAAATAAAGTTGCTGTTTTTTTTAAAGTTCTATTTTATGTAGTCATTTATTTCATTTTTTTAATCCATTACCTTTATCTTATCTTCTTCCCATTATTTTAATTGCAGAAAGACCTTTATCTTATCTGCTTACTATTTTTTTAATTGTAGAAAGACTTATTTGTTGGTTATTGATAAGCAGCATCTAGCTATTGTATGGGTACTTAATTTTTTTATTTACATGAACTGTATTTCTTACATGGTAATCTGGTATCATTCCTTGCTGGAAGTGAGCTAACATCACTATTGTGATAGTCATTGTTCAGATCCAAAATATGGATCTCTGTTTTCCTTAAAGACTTATTCTTCTGTTTTTTAATTGTAAAATGGTATTCAAGTGCTCAAGTTTTTGGATCACTTGAATGGATTTTATTTTATTTTATGGCTATCATACACTTTGTGATGAACCTGAATTAAAAGAGTATCTAGGTAAACAGCATGAAAACAAATTGGAAGTTAAATACTTTCTCCTACCTCCATCTTACATTTTTCAAGTAAAGATTATTCCACAGTGTGGTTAATAGTTCTGCTATTTAATGTTTTAATGCTTAAATATCAGTTATACCTGTGATAAAACATGATGGGAAAAGTCTCCTAACATTTGTTGATGAGCATGGTTGCTGTTTTGTTCCACATCAGTTTGTGCTAAGGTAAATTGGGAAACACAACATTTGAGGCCAGTGTTCTTATGAGTTACTTAGACATTGTCTTTTACTGGCTTTTTCTTTTTCTTTTTGGTATGGGTGTGTTAATGAACATACTAACATTTATAAATATTTCAATAAATAATTACACTAATTGTTTCAGGGGCAGCCAAACTCTATGCATATTGGATTGTGGTAAATTTCAGGGAGGCCTATAATCTCTTTGCTGTGAATGGTATTCTTTTCAACCATGAGAGTCCCAGGAGAGGTAAGGAAAATGTCCAGAAATTTCCATTACTATTCTTATGTATGTTTGAAGAGGAATACATTTCTGTTTAACTAATTGTTCTTGGATAGATTCCAAAACTCTTTATAGTAAAAGCTGTTACATGTAAACTAGAAGTTAGAGTGCTAAATGTTCAATGGAAATTATTTCAGAATTTATGGGATATCTTTCATAGTTATCACAATAAAACAAAATTACAATCTGTAAATTGTATAACATATTAACGGTATTAAAGGAACAGAACCAAAAGTGTTGTGAGACTTCCATTTCAATGGAAAAAAATCCTATGATAAAATTAATGTGTATCATCATAACATCACATCTGGACTCATTATCATGGTTGCATATTCTTAATGTCTCATGCTTGTGCTAGTTAGCTCAGAGTTCATTGGTTATAGAAAAATATAACCAAGGTTCAGATTAACATTCATCTTGATTAAAGAGGGCATAAATAAAAGTTTTGCCACATTTTCAGTAATTACTTGCACTTCTCCAACTTCTTAAAAATGTCTTTGGGGATAGATGAGAAAAGAGTACAAGTGAGAGAACCCAGTATTTTGGGAGTGGGCATTTAAAATGGTTAAAATTATATGAAATGAAGTTGCTTTTCCATGCCAAATTCTTCTCACTTTCATAGAGTTATATCAAAATACATCATAGCTGCTGTTCATTTATTCTTATTTTTGAATGGCAGTTGGAAATCAGAAACACACTTTCACAGTTCTTAAAATGTCCTTGGTTATCCCTGGACAGCCGGACATACTCTTTTTAAAAGAAAAGTAGGAATAATTCTACCTGTCAATGAGTTATAACTTTCAAAGCAGTCTATTTTGATAGAGAAATTAATATGACTGTAAGACATTAAAAAAGAAAGATCCATTAGAGCTTTCATCACTGAGTGAAATAAGAGAAGTTTCTATATTCATAAGATTTGCTTTCAGATTAATTAAAATGGTGTAAAATAGCTTAAGTCAGCTAACCCAATATCTTTCTGACAGTTTTTTGTGTGGTTTCTGATATTTCTAAAGTTGAAAGTAAGCTAGATTTCATATGAACCAATTTTTAGGTCAGGTTGCCTCTTTAAAGAGTGGTATGGTTTGGGAAAAGAAAAAAGAACTCTGTATTCATTCTTCCTTTTGATCTATAAATCTTCCTTGGCATTCTATCTAATTCTGAGACTGCTTCCAGTAGATATTGTAGCTAGTCTACACACACATATCCATGCACATATACATAAAGTCATATACACATAGCCACAAATAGCTATATTTATATATACATCATGTCATTTTCATATGAACATGAACTCACTTTGAAAAATCTATGTAGCTCTGCTTTTTAGACTAGAAGTAAGAAGCCAAAGAGAATGAATGTGAAAAATCTACTTTTTAAATTCTGCAAATAATGCTGAAATAAGTATTTTTAATAAAAGAAGAAAAGTGAAGTTTTTTTTTATACTTTACGTTGTGATGGAGTTGAGCAGCCTATAATGTTAATATATGCGTATGTATGAGAGCTAGTGCGGTATAGTGGTTAAGGTGCTAGACTAGGGGTGGGTCACCCCAGGTTATAATCCACCAGGTTAGGAATGGGAGCCAGCTAGAGGACTTGGGCCGATCTTACACTCTCAGCCCTAGACTGGGAAGGAAGTAAAAAAAATCTCCCAACTCACACTGGACCCACATAATAGATTACAATCCATAACCTTCAACAAGGAGGCCTTTACCCTGCAGTGCATTGATTTGGGGTAATAGTAATAATAATAATAATAATAATAATAATAATAATAATAATAATAATAATAATAATAATAATAGTGTGTGTGTGTGTGTGTGTGTGTGTATGCATCTGCATTGACTTGAAACCGTTTCACTTCAGTTGACTGAAAAACCCAGTAAAATAGTAAACCCACTTTAAAAAAAGGCAAGAGGAAAGCTACTTACTCAGGAAGAGAAAAATTGCAATTTAAAGAAACTTTGATTTTCAAACAGGCAACCTTCTCTGTGCTCAAAAAAGATAATAGCTATTGTGCTGTTTCAGCTCTGCTGTTGAAGGCAGATATAGAGCCTAGTAAAGTTCATGGCTAAATCGAAGCAGTGGTCCTTTCTCTGCAAATGAGCCAATGAACTGCAGAGGTTAGATTGAAGCATTCTGTCCCAAATGGACAGGAGCACCTGTGTTGACATAACAGGAAAAAGTGTGTTTTGGAAGTGGAGTAGAAAAACGTGCCCTGAGGTACACACTGTCCCAGTGTTCTGATGTGGGAATCATGATTCCATAAAAGAAAATGCAAGCTATTATCAGTCTAATTGGAAACTGCATGTAAAACTTGGGGGGAGGGTGCCTTCAAGTTGGTGTTGACTCCTGGCAATTGCCTCGATTAGTCTCTGTAGTTTTCTTGACAAGATTTCAGAAGTGGCTTGCCATTGCCTCCTTCCCAGGGCTGAGAGAGAGTGACTGGCCCAAGGTCATCCAGCTGGGTTTGTGTCCAAGGCGGGACTAGAACTCACAGTCTCCTGGTTTCTAGCCGTGCTGCCTTAACCACTACACCAAACTGGCTCTCATATAAAACATGGCATACCAAAAAAATGAGCTGATTTGTTATAAATTTGCTGTATGAAGCAAAATAAACAATAAAATTGACTTTGTGACCCCCTGTCAGTGAATCTGTTTGCAAGTAATAATCCTGATTTTGGAGGTCTGCTAGGACACTCTGATAAATGAAATGTTTGTTTTAGGAATGTGAGTTTTTTGTTTTTCCTGTTTCACTCAAGAAAATAATGAAGAGATGAAGTACTGTATCTGTATTTTAGGGTTTTACAACTGGTAAGGTTGTAATTGTAATAATTAATGTCATCATTTTTTGCAGCATGAATTCAAAAATATACAAATCTACACAATTTCACTGAACTAGATAAATGTCTGTACTCTGGAACATGCAAACTGCTGTTGTTTGCCCAAAAGCTTACTTTAGTGCTATGCAGATAGGTTCGCCACACAATAAACATACATCTGGAAAAGGTTGTAGGTTTGTATGCAAGTCCTTGCCCTGATTTCTTCACACATCTGGCTGCCTTAGCAAATCATAAACCAAGGTTTGTTTTTGAGTTATAGTTTTGACTTGTTTGAAAAAAGATCCCTCTTCATTTATAATGTTTTGAATCTGAGCTGGAAAAAAACACCTAAAGTAATTGGGACAGTTTAATGCATAAGAGTGGTTTAACACTTGAATAAAGCTATCATATTATCTTGTCTTTAATAAGACAAAATTCTAAAGAATCCTGGCTTAGTATTTTATTTGATTAATGTCATAGAACTTAGTTCACACATTGCACTGAGCCATTATGGAATTTGGTTTGTGTTGGGCTAATATGTAACGTAAACCCAGTCATTGTGGTTTTTGTAATTCATGATTTAGGCTTAATCTGATGGTTGAACCAAGCCAACAGTGGATTGTTAAACAAACTATAATTTAGTGTAAAGTATCAATTCAGCCAGAATTAGAATTTCTAGTCATAAAAAGTTGTTTTGTCCAATTCTTTTTTCCCCTGATACTATGCAGAGAAAGAAAATTGTGTAAATTATATCTGGACTTGAAAAATACTTATTGAAAAAATTAAGGATGTTCATTTAACATAAAGATCTGTATTGCAGGGATGTGTACTCAAACCAAGTCACATTAGGAGTGTGTCTGCTCCTATCTATTTTTCTTTGAATTGGCAAAATATTCCATATTCATTTTTGAACTCATTGTAAGGACTAGAGGGCATTTGCTAAATCAGCTCATTGCAATTGTTCTTCTCGTTTAGAAGCCATCTCTGAGAGCAAGCATTAAGGGCAGTAAGCTCTGAAGCTACTGTAGACACTTGTCTTTTTCCCACCATGTTCCAAAAATTGTTTGGCAGTTCCATTGCCTCCTTGAGAAATCTGTCAAATTTTGCATCACCCACAGAAAATGCTTAGGTTATTGGCTATGGGGAAATGACTCACTGAGCATCTGAATTTTGTATATTTCTGCCACAGAATGTAATCAGTGCTTAATGTGGTCCTAGTGATATATTAAGGGGGCCTAGGGAAACAAGTTTTGTATTTGCTTCATTTATTTCATAGATGATGCACCAGTATGAAAAACTAATTGCCCTCCTAGTTCAGTGAATTTAGTTAAAGGAATAACTAAGGCCATTTGTGTAAGTGCTTTCTCAAACAAATGGGGTTGATTCTGGCCAGCCCTGCTCTATATAAATCTCACAAACTTTGGCTATCCTCATGAAATTTTCACCACACACATTCTAGAGAGATGACATGCTCTGTTCAAAAGAAATCTTTGTCTGTCAGTCTTGAAAAGATTACAAAACAATTTCCAAATTTCTGTGCTTGGTCAGATGCATACATTTGGACAGTAGTGAATATTACATGACAAGGTAGACCAAATCAGGAAACTGACTCCACAGGAAAACTAGAATGATACTTTATTGAGATAGGCAAGAGTAACCAAATCTTGCAAATCTGCTTATGCTTTTCTCCCTTCCCTCTTGTACCCCAGTGAGTCAAGAGGGGTCATCCTGAGTCTCTTCTTAATACTATCGCCCTTTCCAGGACATAAGGAAAGTTTCAGCCCTCAAGGCCATTTCCCTCCTCTCTATACTACCAATGGTGGCCATTCTGTCAAAATAATTTATGTACTCAACATAAAAAGAAGGGAAATCACAAATATCCCTGATCAACTTTCAGGGATCTAGAGGTCTTGTATAGCTTTTCATTCTGACTCTCTTTTTATATCACTTGAAGTCACATCATTCAGAGGCAAAGATAACGAGCATTCAGAAAATCTGCCAGGAGCATAAAGGAAGGATTATGGGAACTCAGTGGGCAAAAAGAAAATGTTTGCCCTGGTTCTGTTAGGAGAACCCTCTATCACTGAAATTTTCCTAGAGGATATAAAAGAATCAGTCTGAAGTTATTCCTGCTTTTTAATGTAGTAAATAGGCATAAACATTTTTTCCTGTTGTTTTTTTTTTATGCTCCTTTGAAAAATCTTGCATTTCATTGACTCTTTTTCCTTTTTTTTACCCTTAGACCTCTCATATATTAAACATTTTGAAAGGCTCATAAAGCAGCTTTTCATGTATCCTAAAGTAGGAAAGGAAGATAGTTTCCTGGAGGGCGTTTAATCTTTTCCATTCTGCATTATTCTATGCAGAATTGTTTGGTAGTTTAGTGGAGTGCTATTAGTTTTCAGTTTTTTTATGAGAGGGGGAAATCTTTTTCTTAAGGTGTAGCTGTAGCATTTATTGGATATCTAATAAATGAAACCTATTTAAATAGTTGTTAATGTTATCGTTATGCCATTTAGAGCAAGAAGCAAGAGTACTGCCATCTAAGCTGATAGTAGAGGCTTTATTTATCTCACTCCTTATAACTATATTGTTATAGACTTAGTGTTGGAAGCATAAAAAATAACCAAGATGAAAGGCTCCCTTTCAAAAATAACTAGCATAGAATATTCTGTAATAATAGAACTGCATAGCAGATTTTACTTCACTGTGTACTATGCATTTCCTATATGGGCTGTGCTCCTTCACATGTCTCAAAACCATATGTACCTTCAGAACATTGCAACTGACATATAGAGAAAGGAAAGTACTTCACATTCTCCAAAGTTTCTGGGAACCTGAGTTGACCATGAGCTAAGAACCTGTTTCATTTAATATCATTTTGAAACTTGCAATGATCATGAAAAAAAATGTAGCAAACATCTTACGAATTATCATCCTCATGAAAATGATCCAGGAAACAAAGAAAATTGTGGGCAAAGAGGAAGAAGGAAACTCTGACAAATTATACAATGTTTAGTGTCCTTAGGCAAAAGATGGGGGATAGTTATATAATTGAAGAGCATGTAGCTTTGTTGACTGTTCCATTTTTTTTTTAAGCTTGGCTCTTAAAACTACAAAAAGCAGTCTGTCCCACATTCAGAACCTTTCTTCACTTCTATACATTCACTAATTTTCTGTCAGCCCTCCCAGGTAAACCAGACAGGAAATACGTCCAGATGAGGTAATTCTACTTTATTGTTCGGCTACATTAACAGAATCTTGCAAGTCTGAAAGTATAAATCTCCTGCCGTCCTTATTTACCACCTGGTCAGGTAGGGCGGGTCCTTTCTAAGTTTCTTTCTCTGCCTGTTACTCAGTTGCGGGCTTCTTCTGACGGTTCCCTAGGCAGCATCTCTTCCCCCTGTCTTCTAAGGTCATTCTCACATTCCATTACATTTTTTCAATATTTCATCATAAATCAATCATGTCATTAGATTATTTTTTTACCATGGATATGCATGAAAAAAGCATGCTTTAATTACATATCTTAAACAAACAAAAACAGATACTCAGTAAAAAAAACCTTAGGCATTCTTTGAACTTCAAATGGCCTTTCTTACCCCATTCCCATCAGTTCATCTCACCAAACAAAATAACTCCACACACCCCATTCCCCCACTCCAGTACTGCACTCACTCAGAATGTTGTACATTTTTTCCTCAAATGTCTGATGTCTGATTTTTCCTCTATCACCATTTATTAGAGCAATAATGTAACAACTATCATTAATCTATGAATTCTTACTTTCATACATATCCCATAAATAATTTCAGTGACATAAATTGTTTACTTTCTGACCTAAATTCTAACCCTTTCATTCACCATTAAGTTGACACCTCTAATTCCCTGCAGTGATTCATCAACTCATTTCCATAAGACCTGACCACCTTCATTCAAATATGTGTCCTTTCCCTTTCTCTTAGTTGAATAAGCACACCTTTTTTTCTTTATTTTATTTCATTTGTTAATTCATGCTTTCAACCATATATTCCTCTTACATTCTAAGTCATGTCTTCTATAGAATATGATAGTCAACAGATGGGGGCCCAAGAATATTGCTCTCTGCCACCAACCCTTTCATAATGAAAGGTTTAACATGATACGTTTTAATCAAGGAAAGAAAAGACTAGATTACGAACCATATTCATATAAGCAGCTCTTCCTGCTAATAGTAAGGACATCATTCATGTGGACCGATATGCCCTAATTGCAACGAAAGCCCAATTTCACCCCAAACACACTCACACTAGTCTATTCAAGCTATGATCTTTAATCGCAAGATTACTTGCAAGCCAGTGTATTGTAGTCCACATTCCACCAATTAGGAGGTACATGCAGTATACTGACACATTCAGGATACATTAAAAAGTATCATCGTGTTTAACATGCTTTTATAATAGAAGAATAAAATATGGTAAACGCAATAAATATATTCAAGTTCTTAAGCACAAATGACCAGGCTCAAATTATCCTACTTCAAACATATTATGCAAAGACCTAGCTCTCTGGAAAAGGCCCTAATGCATAGAAGGGTGGAAGGAAAAGGACAACCAGCAACGATGAGTGCAGTGTTGGAAGACCTGAAAGACAGGTTAGGGATAGATTGTCATGGAGAAAATCTATGTGGTCACTAGGAGTTGAAAATGACTTTATGGCACCTAATCAATCAGTCAATCAGTCAATCAAATCTTAAAGCCGAAGAACTGGATCTATTCAACATCCAGTTCAGGACTACAGTAGTTTTACCAATGTGGTAAATGTACATTATTAATGTTTTTATTTTTTTACATTAGTTATAAATTGCCTTTCAGGATAAAGTTCATTTATACCCATAATTATTTGGTTGCTTTGGATGCAGACATATATACTGTGTAATTCATCAGTAGTATGTGGAACTGGTAGTTATAAACTCCTCTTCCTAACATTTTTAATTTTCCCTGAAGAAATAATGATTGCAAAATAAAAGTTGTTGTGATTCTTCCAAATAGATCAAGTTTTTAAAGATCACTGCAACTTATATCATGTTACCAAGCTTATTGCTTATCAAAATGTATGCGGAATACTATTAAGTTCATTTAACACATTTGCAGCTTAAAAATCTGTATATTTATACTTGGGGAAGAAGGGGGGAGTTTAAAAATGCTCAAAACTATTTCTGTTCTTGCAATTCGATGTATAATCAAATTGTAGTACAAAATTTTCTAAAAGGGCAAACCCCCCCAAAACTCTAATGAAAAGCCTAAAAGCAGGTGTTAATGATATTCAGAGAATGTATAAGAAAGTATTCTGTAAATTAGTTCTGGAAATGTTAATTCCTTGGCTGTGAGTGTAGCTTTCAAGAGACTTGCAGTAGCACAAGACTGGATGTTAATTTCAAAGACTTATATTAGTACAAATTAAATTGACATATAGCTATGGACTATAGGTAGTCCTTGTTTAGCGACCACAATTGGACTGGCGACTTGGTCCCCAAGCAATGTGGTTACTAAGTGAAAAATCACATGACCACAACTGTACTTATGATTTTATTTCAGCCTTCCTTTTTCCCCACCTCCCCGCCCTTTGGAATGCTCACCCCAGCACTGGGATAATTAGCAGGAAAGGAATTAATGTTTGTATTTACATTCATTGGAGAGGAAGGGATTAGAAGAGAATAAGCAGGCGCACAATGGGGAATACACATTGAAAGGAATGCGATGGTGCCTGCTGTTTGCCTAGCATGCTCAGGGCTGGGAGCTGTGAGTGTGCTAGGCAAACAGCTGGTGTATTCTCTATGGTGTGCATGCTTACTTTCTTGTAATCCCTTCCTCTCTAAGCTCTCCACTCTGCCATGGGGAGGGAAAAAAAAGAAAGGGTCAGGCACAGGAGAGATTGCCTAAAGAGATGGCTTGTTTAGGCGATCTGTCTGCTCTGCAAGGGGTGGGAAAAAGAAAATTAATGGGTCTGGCACAGGACAACATGTACTAACTGATTGTAATAGTGAGTACATGACTGAGAAACATTGTGAAGGTTGTAAATGCATGCCTTAGTTGCAAAGTTATTTTTCCAGCACTGTCATAACTTCGAACAGTTGCTGCCTGAGGCAGTTGCTAAGCGAGGTCTAACTATATTCTAAAGTCATCCCATAAGAATAGACTTTTTTCCTATATAGGTCTACTTTATGTGAAATAACTTAGCAGATCTATATGCAAAATGACTAACTTTTCTAACCTTGTTAATCTAAGTTCTTTGCCTTTAGATCACATCATTAAGGATAGAACTTTACTTTGGGGTGATTCTGCTTCAGATAATTGCAAGAAGTGTGGATGGGCTGCTGTTCCTTCTTTGACATGTACAAGGAAAACCCCACATTTATGCATAGACAAGATTCTTTAATCATTAGGCTGTTGCCTTCTTTTATATTGTGTTTCTGGAAACCAGAAGTTTGAATTTATTTTTTCTTGCCCCAGAGAAATTATCCTAAAACTGAAGCTTCAAATTAGGGCTGCTTTCAAAGAAAGATATTTGTTGAAGAAGTAGAGCGAATGTGATGGGTGTGCTGACAGTCCTTAGCTGGCAGTTCTGCAACACAGGATGACCAAACTGAGGTGATTGATACAAGGAGAGAAGACTGAAAAGATTGTTGCACTCTGTATTTTTAGCATTAATTATAGGGCACTTATCAGATAATTTTTAATTTCCTTATTCTATCTTTTCTCTTTATTTTAGGAGCCAATTTCGTAACTCGAAAGATTAGTCGTTCAGTTGCTAAGATCCACCTGGGACAATTGGAGTGCTTCAGTTTGGGCAATTTAGATGCCAAGAGAGATTGGGGTCATGCCAAGGACTACGTTGAGGTATGCTATTCCTGAAATGCCTGCTTTGAAACACAGCCTTTGTGAGTTTTATTGCAATAACTTAAAAAAAAAAAAGTATGACCTGAAGGCATCTGCTTCTAAATCTAGCTTTTCTCCCCAGCTACCTAAAGAAGTAACACAGGATGCTACTTTATACATAACCTGAACATAGAAAGAAGGTCTTCAGGTTCACATTCTTTACTAAATTCCTATGGGAAGGACTAAAAACTAAAAAGACCTCTTCTACCTCAACAATATATTGTTTCTTTGTTTCCTTGAGATCAGATATTGAAGTGCAGTATAATTTTTTGAGATCTTTTCTATACCTTGGAATCTTCTTATAATAATGGGAGAAACATTATTTCTCCCATTAACCTCACATTAACCTCAGAAAATCATTCTAATTCTGATTCAGATGCGGTTGTAATATTGTTAATGTTTAATATTTCTTCATGTTAAAAACATTCAGGAAACACTGTTATTAACATAACCTATGTAAATATTGTAGATGATTGTATTTTCTTTGAAAAGTCACCAGTGCTAAATAGTTTCTTTTTGCTAATCTATTTTCATAAGATTATGAAAATTTTTGAAATTCTGTATTTCTTCAGTGTAACTATACAGGTACATGATCCAAAGATGAATGACATACAATCCTCAATGTACCTATAGAGATATAATTGTAAAGTGTGTTATTAAGGCAATTAGGAAAGCATAGTTTGTCCTACCATATGATTTGTATTTTCATATCTAATCATACCGACCAAAAATATCTTGCAGTGTGAAGTATCTCTTTGAGATGTACAAAAAAGTTTTAACAATATAATTAATAATTAAAATTAACATTTATTGAAGTCCAGTTTGTACAGAGAGCTGCTGATCCACCCAGATCAGCAGATTTTTTTCAATCTTCCTCTGCCTGCCCTTCTAACTATCCTTACAAACATGGAATCTGGCTCTATGATTTTGGGGGTATAAGTGATTAGATACTAGCCATAAAATAAGCTAACCATGATTTATAAAAAATGGTTTGGGACAGAACTAGCATTATTTATTTATTTATTTATTTATTTATTTATTTATTTATACATTC